TTGATAGTATGACTCGACGATTAGCGATAAACTACCTCAACTCAATATAAATCGCGGTTAATCCTTCGCATTTCCGGCGCAGTTCTGCCCAGATGGGGGAGGGAAGGAAAAGGAATTGCACTTTCGCTACTTCCCATCGTCGTCTTCAGTGCTTTACGAGGGTTGCCAGGTACTCTTTACAAGAGGTGAGGAGCGTTTTCTACTAACTTTGTCTGGTATGACTTCATGGCTTCACAAGACTTCACAGATCTCTACTTGAAGACTGGACTGGGAAATAGCGAAAGTGCAAAAGGGCCCCACCCCAAGCCGATCTGTTCCAGAATTCCAGATCTTCAGCGAATCACTCACTTATCAATGCTTTGAAGAACAATGACTGCATCGGTCTCAAGAATTTCCGCTCTCATCAGGTCGTTTTTGAACACTCTCAGCTCGCTGTCGGGTGAACCGATGATTAACTGAAACTCATCCTTAGAAGGCAATCAATATGCATATTTAGTACAGCTACCACAAAATCCTCACTTCCATTTCACCATCAGCGTCAAAATCGCAGAAACACATGGTTGTCACTGCATCACCTGAAAACTGACAGTTAATGGTGAAAACTGTAACGGATTGTCATTAGCTGTGACCACGGACTGCCTTATTAGTCTAATGAAGCCAATTTACGAATTCTTTTCACAACTTTCGGGGAGTTGAGTCCAGCATTTGCCAGATGTAGCCAACAAACTGGTATGAAAGACGGCCCTAGTTAATTGGGGTCGTAATAAAAATGGAAAAGTTCACACCTACCGGTGACGGTCCAAAACACATCCTTGCCGGTCTCATCGAAACCCCAAATGGCACAGTTACCACCGCAAAGAATCAATCTGTCCAGCTCGCCCATCTTGCCCACCTGTAAGCAAAGGAACTGAGTAGGCGCAAAGTTTCCACCTAGTAGGCAAGGTGGAACGGAAAATGAATTCTCATCTTTATTGCAAGGCATACATGCTAGCATGCCCTCAGTGAGTGGTCGCTGAGAACGCCACCTACTAGAGCTTGAGGGCTATTTACGTGATCCTCCACAACTAACGATCGTCTCACCAGATTCCCAAAATTCCCGCAAAAATTGTTCGAGGGGAGGGAAGAAGACAATCGCGATCAATTCTCTTAGCCCGACAGTTTGAGGCAAGGATGTATATCGAATCTAATCCGCTGCGGCCGACCCTGAGGTATGGCAGGGTTTGGCCGAACAGTTAGTTGGTAGAGAACGGACTGGCGCCACGCCAAACTCAGCCTTCGACATACCCCTGCTTTCGCCGCGAAAATTAATCAGATGGAATTATATTGGCAACTAACCGCGAAGCACTGCACACCATCGGGTACGTCCCTTCTGAAGACAGTAGAATTTCGATGGAAATCGTAGACGAGTACTTGACTTTCAGTACCGACGACAATGTAGTCATAACCATCACCATATGGTACTGTCGTGATGCATTTGATCTTGTCCGGAATGTGAAGAGTACTTTCGTTACCTGTAAAAGCAGGGATATCCAGAGAGAGCACCATGTTGAGCGCTTCCGAAGATGCCCTATGATTAGCATAGCTCACACCCCTTTCCCCCCCCCCTCCCCTTCCACATCCTCACCTCCCCTTTGTGAATTCCTTTCTTGGCACTCCTCTCCACTTTACAGTCTTGAAGAAGCGAAGCGTATCGATGAGAAATGCAAAGCGTACCAATAAAGGCACTGGAAGGACTGGCTCCGCTCATATAGCGGGTGTAGATTGCGCCAATGATGGGCAGTGCACGTCCTGCCGTTGGGGGAAATTTTCGCAGAACATGGCTATCCCCCCGCAGCTTCCTATGAATGACCCTTCCATTCCCTATCCCCTCCCACTTCCTACCTTTTCTCGAAGTATTTTCTCAAAAATTCTCCAGATTCCTCCAGAAAACCAAAAAAAAACTGCCGTCGAGTAAAGTCAAGTAGTGAGCAGAGAAAAGTCAATACGGAAACCCTTCTCTCGGAAGCAAATACCACCTTCTCTCTCACCACCGACCAAGTACGACCTCCTCGTTGGGATTCGCTTACCCAACGGCTAAACTCTCTTAGGCCAGCTCTCTTCTTAGCTCATTTGGTTGAATCTAAGGTTCACCCACTTCTGAGTATAATCTTGTTTGAAGCGGTCACTGCGACCAGTGTCTCTTTTGTGTCGGGCTCGATCCGAGCTGAAGTGGCTCCATTCGGAAGTATCCGATGATTTAGCGAGAAGCCAAAAGCACTCGCCAGCTCGAAGGTGTCATGGCTAGTCACTTCGGCTTCACCTTCTTCTGTCATGAGTTCTTGTCAGCTGAAACGTAAAAATCAGAAAAGAAAATTGAAAGAAGCAAAGAGAAAAAATAACGAGAAGCAAGGCAGAAAGGCCGCACTGTCCTTTAGTGAGGTGCTTGAATTCAATACAGTTTTGATACACTAGCGTTATAGTTTTTTTCCGCGTAAGAGCAAGACAGAATCATAAATAAAGACTGGCGGCTTCGCGTTCATGAGGAATTAGCCGCAATTAAAGCGGTAGCACTAGCCATTTTTCTTTCAGATATCCGGATAATTAGCTGGAAAAAACGAACAATGAGCAAAAAGGACAATTTCAGCGTGAGGTTGAAGCCATTGAGACTTTTGTCGAGCAGCATTTAACACCGCTGCAGCTGCCTAGCGGTTACCCGTCGTCACCATGACCCAAAAAAAAAAACGCCCATCACCCGGCAAGAATCGCATTTTCTGTTTTTCGTCATTTTATACTGGAATTTGCCTCCACAAATCGATACCAACAATAACGAACAACTTCCGAAAAGTAAAGGCAAGTCAAAATCACCTTTCTTCAGGATGCCGGGTCAATCTAGCTAGGAGTCCCCGTTGCATCGCACAGAGGCCGTACCCCTCGTTAGTTCCACAGCGATTTTATTAATTGCCACGATCATCAGTGGGTCCAAAAGCTCTGACGTTCAGGAATGCAATTGTTCGGAAGTGCATCAGTGATCTACATCAAGTGGTCATGATGCTTTGAGTTGACGCGAGTTAGATCTGGAGACACATTTCGACCGATGGGGACACACGCCGTAATGGATATTAAAACATATCAAGTTGCATCATGCCTAAATACTCATCACCCAAAAAAGTAGCAGAAGAACCGTTTGACAACTCTATGTAAACAACTTTTTTAGTATATACGAGCTCAAGTGTTCGGACGAGTTCTCAGAAAGCTCGGAACTTATGTCAGCGAATCAATGCGAGCGTCGCCTAGGTGCGTCCTAAATGATTTGATGAGTCATTTTTGGCTAAATTCATTGAATCTCAATGTCGCTAAGACAAGATAAGGGGCGGTGCCTTAGGGAACCAGGTGGAACCCCGAACCCTTAACATGCTCGTGGCGTCTCCGTCACGCATTTTCGGACGCAAATGTGGAACGACCTGTGCGTCTACGGACCTCGGCACTTCCTACGCGTAACAAAGTTCATCTTCGAGGCACAGTTGTTACCACAGAATTCAGTCTAGTGCCCTAGTGGCGCATGGGTTTAGGCGCAGGGCCAGCCCCTTTTCCACCACTTAATAAACACCCGAAGCCGCAACGATCGATGTGAAGTGGGCTGGTGTCGCGCTAAAACCTACGGCACGCTGACACACCCCGGCCGACATAAGTGACAACGGACTATGATCACTCTGCATAATAGAGTGTCATTACTGCTCAATTTCTGCCCAATTTGTGCACAAAAAATCGTCCTCAAGTTATTTTCAAACGTTTATAACACGAGTATACATATCTATATACACAATATATAATGAGTACGGAAAACCGTACCAACACGCTATCTGCTCTTACGTGATGCTACTTAAGGCCAACATAGGACATACGACATGGAATACAGTGACCTAGAACTAATGATTATGGTAACTGGTAACTGGGTTGGGCAACCTTTGGTAAAGCGACATTCGAATGAGGGTCACTGTAGGTAAACGATTGCTGAACGATTTGATAAATGCAAAACAAATAAGAAAAATGATGAATGTAGCTACTGACTCAATAGATCTGAACTCGTCTACAATAGAGATGTGAAATTTCTACACGTGAAGATCGATGGTCCCGAAACGACATTTCATCAGTACGGTGAACGACCAAATTCGTTAGTTTACGATCGTCTCCGTGCTCCTATCTTTTTGCCCATGAGGCGGAACATCGAGCAGTATTGCTTCAGGTCACTGAAATGAGTAGTTGATAAGCATGTCGGTGAACTAACAGCTTCTGAGAATGAAATAGCTGAAAAATAAAAATAAATGGATTAGTAGAGCTGCACTGATCGTATGGGTAGGGGCAGCAAGCCGTTGTGCCTCTCTAATTGAAGCGCTGCGCCTTTCTTACTAGTTGCAAGACACCAAAGAGGGGCACACCAATGAGGATATTACTCTGAGTGACTGTCTCCGCCCACACGATCATCATGAGTTGTGGCATCCCATTAGAAGAGGAAATTTGCATGCTCTAGATGATTGCACAACCTTCGTGGTTACGTGTGGGCCAGAAAGTTCGAGTTGTGGTGATG